CATAAGTGGTTTGATAATGGCGTATCAATGGCCGTTTCGGCGGTTCGCACGCCTCATCAGTATCTCATGCCCTTCGGCTCACTTCTGCTAAGATAGGTCGTTCCATAGTTTTGGCATTGGAACATTGAACACCAAATTTATTAACTACAAGTAAATAATATCACATGATTTTGGTACCGTTCAACTGCGCATTTCCTTGCAAACAATAGAAAAAATGGAATGGGCGAGGCAAATAGTGAAACGAGGTGACGACGTGACTAATCGTTGCCGCCCCAGTTGTGTCAGAAACGGGTGAAAAGTGGCGATCTGGTGATATGGTTAAGTGTGCCGGAATCAGTATAAAAGTCAGAATTACGAATCTTGAGCGTAGATAAAATCCCTCACTCATAGTCTTCGGTTTTATCTACACCCGGTCGACTTGCTCAGGATGCCGTCTGCTGTCTACCCAGTCGTCATAAAGACATCCGAAAGCTCTACGAGACCTCAAAAACACGACTTTTTGTTGTCTTCGACACAATTAAATCCGCGATTTCGAGCCGTTTTTGCCTAAGCCATGGCTTTAATCCGGTGAGCGGGCAATGCATCGGACGTCGGCTTATTCCTTCAGGAAAAAGTAATGACCTTTGACCTTTGATCTTGAGAAGCTGTTCTGACGATTCGAAAAGCCGCCGAATAATAGTAGATTGAGGAAAAATTTCATTCATATGTAAATTACATCATTAGGAATAACATTTTCCATTTTTGAGTAATTTGCGAATGTCATCTAAGAAAATTTTGATAAGTGATTGTGGTAAATTTTGAATTTGCCAGTTTGCAATTTATATTTTAATTTCAAGCGCTAATCTGGCGGTGCAATGCCGGTAAGGCTGATGAGGTAAAATCTAAAAACTTCCACCTCAGCTTTCTTATGACGTTTTTGATCGGTTCGCACCATGAGATTAAGCGTTATTACGCAGCAAAATCACTTTGTCGTGTCCTGGGACCCATTCCGATCGTTTTATTTACAACTCGTGGTTTAATTTGGGTAATTGTTGTTGATAAAGTGTTGCGTTAACACTGTATCGGGCTCTACAAGAGCCCATAACAGACCACATGACATGTTGGTTCAAATAATAATTATGGTATACGTTGCGTTAACCGTTTCACGTGCTCTTCAAAGAGGTCGTGGTGATGGACTCTTCTTGATCCTATCAAATGTACAACAAAACCTTTCCTGAAAATTCCGTTTCGCAGACGGTTTTGCCGGTTATCTGAGGTCGGTCCACGATCGCTTTCGCTTTGAATTATCAAACCACATCTACTTTTCGTTTGCGGTCGCAACAGAATGCAAAAAGTCTCTTTTGTCATGCAGTGCTCTTCTTTAGATCAAACATGAAAACTAGAACTTCCCGCAAATGGGGTTCCTCAGGTGCAAAAGTCCTCATCTTCGAAGTCCTATAAAACCATTATATAAAATACATAAAAACATACATGTAGACAGCTTTTTGCGCACTTCCAGCAAAAAAGAGTGCAAGTAAGACGCACAATTGAAGGATACCAGAACAATTTTAATGACTTCTTGTTAATAAATTTGGTGTTCATTGGTCTAGGCTAAAACTCAAGATCAATCTAATAAACTGTTATGAGAGATTGTGCAAAAGAAATAGGTATTGATGGCTATTTTATCAGCAGTTTTTTCCCGTTATGACGAATCAAAATCAATGAAAAGGATAAAACTGTTGGCGTAGATCACTCCTTGAGGGGCACACCATGCAGTCGTCTTCACGAAGTCTCGTTTGAAGTGATTCATTTGTCTGTCTGGCCTTTACAATGACCTCGAAGGTCTACCAATGTATCAATTCAGTGCTGCTATCCTCTACACAAGTCGTACCATTTCGCTGACTCCGGAGGGATGGAAGCTACGGTAAACGTTGTGGGAAGATCGGACCATCAACCATCAACTGAACGACCATACATGTGTCGCAGACACTTTTAACCCTTGCGCCACACGTGGCATTTACATCATCTAAAAGTAGCCAATTTTTTCACGAACCGGCTCGAAGAAAGACATGATGTGCAACGAATCGCCATTACGAGGAGGAGCACCCATTCGGCTAACTCTGAGATGAACTGAGATGAACAGCAGCTTTTCGTATCCACTGGCTTTATAACCTTCTCATGAACGTAGGAGGTTATTAACATCAGGAGGAAGGGGGGCGGGGGCGGTGGAATACAAGCTCGCAATGACTGCTATCAGTGTAACTGGATTTATTGCCGATATGTGCTTATCATACCGAACCCATTAGAGATTGGTTGCTAATATCAAGGATAGTTTATATCGAAGAAAGGGTGGTAGCAAAGCGATAAATTCGGTAGTGTAGCGGTAGCGTGCGCACCCCGTATGGGTGAAATGCGGGTTCAGATCCCGTCTAAAATCAGATGTTCTGCATACCATTCAACAACCTTGTATGATTCGTCAGCATCGTGTTTCTTATTAAGGAGCTAGCACGAGACTTTTCGTTGTTGCGGTTTATTCCCCAAATTTTATCCCAGTCGAATCGTGTTGGTGCGACGAAGAGCAGTGTTAAAAGGAGATTAGCTGCTTTAGAAAATTTGACGTAGATCATTGTGAATCGCAAGGATTAAGGCAAAACCGACGTCGAGAACGATAGTCATAATAAGAAAGGTTTATCGAAACCTCAGCTGAGCTCATTAATTTAAACAGAATAGTGCTCCGATTCACTTGATCCGGGAGAAAGACGCCAAAGAATTGCGTATTACGAAATTCCACGTTGAAAGACGAATTTAAGACTGGTCGAGCGGTTAATGATGCAGGCTATCAGAAAGCAAGGTGTCGGTTCGATCTCCTCCTTCATCACTTTTGCAGTCGAACAACGGGAGCCTTAAGTGTGTCTTAGCTCGGCTATCTCCACGACTACTAGGTGATTCGCCTTGACTAACATTCTACGACATTCATGAAGAAGACGAACCTCAAGCATCAGACGAAAAACGTGAAATGTGGATTTCTGTATAAGGACGAATGGGAAAAAACGGATTGAATCCAGGAAATGGGATCTGCCGCACATTAAAAATGTTGTAAAAAACCGTGTAAACTAAATGGATGATAAAAAAGATAAATAAACACGAACACATGATACATCTGAAATTTCTTTATTCTACCCCAAACTCTCTTCGGCAGTCGAACAACATCCTACGAGACGCCATAACTAGGCTATCTTGAGATTGCAAGAAGACCAGCTCAACCAGTATTCTACGCTTTTGAAGAAGAAGCCGGAGAACGAATTGAGTGGTGGAAGGACTGGGATCCGCACTGTAGAAAGACTCTGTGATGACGGATCAAATAAAGTAAAGTAAAGTAAGAAGTAACTAGTGTAGGTTTTACTTTCTATCATTGTTTCAACGTGCCTAGCTTTATTCACAATTTAGACGGGTGTACACATCTGTTCTTTCCAGATAAACGAAGCCTAATACATCGACACTGCGTTTACTCGGTTGCTACATCAAGGTCACATAAGTGATTCCACAGTTGCTAGAAGATGTGTTGGCCAATGTATATAGTAAGAAATGTACATTTTACGAGAAAATGATTGTGAAAAATTGTTATATTCGGACACAAGGGGGCCAATTTTGTGCAGTCTGTGGTGAATTTGCTAATCCTAGGTATTATTAGAAGACTCATGCCAAAGTGAATTTTTCGATGTGGGTTTGTTGTACCATTACACTACAACTTCGTACATCTTTTTGTGAATTATGAAGAGCTAACCTTGTAGCGCCGCCGTGTCTGGAGAAGAAGACATGGAAATTATGGTTGCTTACTTTTTTATACTCGTCGATGACGAAACTGGTGGAGAATCAGATGCGAGTATTGCGAAGAACGTGAGAACCGATGATAGTGACTCTGAAGGTGTTAGCTTGGACTATACGTGAGAAGACGCTTCGAATGTTAGGACTGCAGTGGGAGAGTGTTGAGACGAGTGTGCACTCACAAATCATGCTACTATTTGATGGGCACTCCACAAGTGTTCAAAGAGGCGTCGGCCTGTGTTGTCGATTCGTTCGAACTCCATCAAATGTTCTAGCGAGTGCTTGGCAGCAGATAGTGCAGCAAGCGAATTTCTACGGTACGAAGGAGAACCATTAGTGGGAAAACGACTCATGATGAGATGAAGCGTAGCGTATCTTCCATGTGCAAATACGTGTTGCGAGATTTCCAAATGTGAAAGATCATTGTAGTAGCCATCCATCTGGAAATCCTTTTAAAAATTGGAGCCCGTTGTCATGCCAGTGAATGAGTTTTTCCGCATCAGAGCACCGTCGACATTATTGAGTGGCTCTGAACGTTGGCAGAGGAGGAGACTGTTGCAAGAGCTCGATATAAAGCTAAGTGAGCGCATACGAGGTGCAGTCAATGTAAGAACTTTGTTTGCTTACAGTGTTCCAGTTCTACCTCCAGAAATGTAGGCATAAACGTTCTAGACTCTGGAAGTTAGGATTGTTGGGAATGAGTCGTAATTTCATTTGTATATTGTGTAGGTAACAATCAGTTGCAAACTGATTATCTTAGGAAGAAGAATAAATTCTTGATTGACATCACTATAGGGTATACTTGTTGTGCAATGTTGACTGGATAAGATATTGATTGCTGGAATATATTTTTAGTAAAAGATTTGCTGCATTAGTGGCTTTATGCATGCTATGTTATAGATTAAAAATATGTATCTTCTCATAAAAGTACTCTTCACAGTATAAACTCGTACTCTTTTTACACTCACTCCGCTCCATAGTAAAAAAGCTTCCTTATATAGATTTTTTTCTGGAAGTCCATCGCTGTAAAGGAAGTATTTTTGAACTGTATTCTCCACAGACAAGCAATGAAAATGTACTATGAGGCCTGAAAATAAGCTCTTTCCACATTGATGTGATTTTTCGTTGAAAAATTGGGATTTTGAGAGTAAGGATTCGTTATTATTCAATAAAAATACCTTTGCTTTCGAGTGATGTGCAAAAGCTTGACTTCAGGCGAGACTCGAACTCACATTCAACCTTTTCCGGAAAGCGTGCTTAATCAACTGCACTATCTTCGCCCGTTTTGTTACTACTCCTTCTACTTTATACTGCAAAATGCCTATATTGAAGTTTTCGTCATAATAGTTTTTCTTTTAGAAGTGATAAAATGCCTCTAACATATGAATTGCTTATATCAATACCATCAAAATCGTTGAGAATTTCAAGCGACTGCTTGTTAATGCGAGCATAAAATTTGACTTTCTTTTTATTCCTAAAACGCTCCACAGAGACATTTCGAGGAACTAATTCCAGCTTTAAGATTGTTGAAATTTCATTTGCTAAGATACTGTTAGAAGTTCATCAAAAAGCCTTTTGAAAATTCCCAGCAGAAGAAAAAAATCAAACCGAGTGTGATATGTGAGATTAATGTTGCTTCTATAATGCACTGAGAGAGATAATATTGAATAGGAATGAGCTATCGCATAGTTACCAAAACTCTTGGAAAGATTTTCTCAGCTTAAAAGCTTTTTGAAAAGTCGTGTGCCAGCACAAGTATACCACTGCTCAAGGGGGTTATCAATTGCACTGATATTCAGTGAATAACTATGATCAATATGGATTCAGATTGATAGGCGGCTTAATAGGAAAGAGCAGAAAAAACTGCAGTCAGTGAATTATTTTTACGTTACTCTAAAAAAGGCTTCTTCTAACCATATCTGGATCACATTATGCTATTTCTCCGTTATCTTTAGAAAAGTGTTCGTGGTATTTTCTTGAACAGACCGCGCCAGATATCCGTAGAGTAGGTATGTGCTTATCCGAGAGTAAATAGTAATACAGACAGCTTAAGGAACAAACAACAAAAATGATTGGTGAATTTCATAGAGACAGGTGTTTCTTATTTTATACCATTGCAGCTTGCCGACCGGTTCTAAGCGATTAACTTCAGTGGAGCCTCCAGACGAGTGTTAGTTTGATTCTTAACTTTTCAAAAATGAATAAATGTCATATGCGGGGAACAAATGTCAAAAACTTTTACAAGACTGCGCTTGCGCAAATTTGGCAATGATATCTCTCTTGAGATAACGTTTTTACATCTTCCACTAATGATAGAAAATGATTCGAGTCCATTAATTACAATTATTCGTGTTCGTCTTATAGTCATCACTGTCAAAATTTTCTCTCACACATATAACACTTTTGATGCTATTTACATTTTTATAGTGATTTACTGCTCTAGGCGATCTATCCTGCGATATCGATATCGTAGTCAGCTGCGAGAGAGCGCATTGATATTTCGAAAACCGACTTTCTTCATCGCGTCACCCATCAAAAATAGTTGTTTCATATTTTTGTAAATGCCACTAAGTCTAGTTGCGCTTTATGTTTGCTAACAATAATGCTAGCTACTGCAGGATAGATTGCCCGAGGAAAATGAAATATCGGAAAATCAGTGCCAACACCATCCCTATTGTGCGCAATGTTCTCATCAGATGAGGTTCTTCACTTAAACGGTGCAACACCTAAAATTCGGCTGTGAGTCAACAAAGCTCTGAACTCATTGGCTTTGAAGGAGAGGAAAGCGTCAATTGTGAGGCGAATAAAGGTTTCAGCACAAGTTTGTGCAAGTTTAACTACATTGAGACTTATTGCTCCTTCTCCTAGAGATCTAATGAAAGTCGCCGTTAACCAATCGTCTATCTAGCCCGAAATGAATAATAACAGAGCTGTGATTTGTTTGATGTCACGCAGAAATCCTAGTAAAATGTCGCCTCAGTGCAATTTTCGTGCTGCAAAATATCTTCTCAACTTGCATATTCAATAAAGAGTCTTTGATATGGCCTTGGTTGCTTTCGTGCGGTCCATCGATGGTTCTCCAAAATTTCACTCTTTTCTCACTACAACTTTTATATGAAATGCCTTTAACATTGAGCGATAATATGCTATAGTTTGTACGGTTACTATTCTACTCTATATACCTAATTATCCTGCATATATATCACTATTCACATAGTCCATTTTCAACATCACCTAACCTCCGACATCACCGCGGTGACGCTCTTGAGATTACTGTAGCTTAATTATGGCGTCGTCTCTTCTTCTAAGTCACTATATTACGACAGGGCTCCTTTCTCTGCCGATCAACAGAGAACGAAGTATGAAATAGAGAAAGCGCTCATATCGACTTTTCTACTACATAAGAGTCGCTTTCAATCAACGTCGCCTTCTCCTCATCGTGGAAGAAGTTCTAGACGCTTGAGTGCAATGTTTATCAGGGTTTTATTCCGACAAGACTGGGCAGTTGAAATAATTAAACGCACATTGACGAACAATGTGGTTAGAAGCAAGACTCTACCACGATTATTCTCTTACAGGGCGACAGCCATGAAGCATTTCTTAACCATGCGAAACGCCTTCTAACCTCCGTAACGGATGCACGGGAAGTAAGCAGCCATTTTTAACCGAATCAATCGCGTCACCTTATCGATCCTATAATGAGACATTTAAGATTCGCGAAACACTTTTCAACTTCATGAAAGCACTTCATAATCAGCAGCATCAGAAGAAGATGTTGGAAAGTGAACGAAACGGTCTGAAAGAGATATTCGCAGATTTTGAACCTGAGAAATTTTTGTACAGAAGAACATGCTTCTAGTAATGTTGAGAGCGAGGCAGGCATATGTGCTTATCCGCAGAGTAAATAGTAATACAGACAGCTTAAGGAACAAACAACAAAAATGATTGGTGAATTTCATAGAGACAGGTGTTTCTTATTTTATACCATTGCAGCTTGCCGACCGGTTCTAAGCGATGAACTTCAGTGGAGCCTCCAGACGAGTGTTAGTTTGATTCTTAACTTTTCAAAAATGAATAAATGTCATATGCGGGGAACAAATGTCAAAAACTTTTACAAGACTGCGCTTGCGCAAATTTGGCAATGATATCTCTCTTGAGATAACGTTTTTACATCTTCCACTAATGATAGAAAATGATTCGAGTCCATTAATTACAATTATTCGTGTTCGTCTTATAGTCATCACTGTCAAAATTTTCTCTCACACATATAACACTTTTGATGCTATTTACATTTTATAGTGATTTACTGCTCTAGGCGATCTATCCTGCGATATCGATATCGTAGTCAGCTGCGAGAGAGCGCATTGATATTTCGAAAACCGACTTTCTTCATCGCGTCACCCATCAAAAATAGTTGTTTCATATTTTTGTAAATGCCACTAAGTCTAGTTGCGCTTTATGTTTGCTAACAATGATGCTAGCTACTGCAGGATAGATTGCCCGAGGAAAATGAAATATCGGAAAATCAGTGCCAACACCATCCCTATTGTGCGCAATGTTCCCATCAGATGAGGTTCTTCACTTAAACGGTGCAACACCTAAAATTCGGCTGTGAGTCAACAAAGGACTGAACTCATCGGCTTTGAAGGAGACGAAA